GGTTTTCACACTTGTTTTATGGTTCAGCAGATGAAAATGTTGCATTTATCATTTAGTAAATAATGGCACATCTGTCCTCAAAAACACACATGATTTAAAGGGATAGTTCACCCAAAAATGAATATTTGATGTTTATCTGCTTACCCCCAGGGCATCCAAGATGTAGGTGACTTTGTTTCTTCAGTAGAACACAAATGAAGATTTTTAACTCAAACCGTCACAAACACTGCAAGACGACACACACTCAACTTTATAATACTAGAGCTTTGATAAATACTAACGCTTTTCTTAGTGAAAACCACTAATTAGAGTGTCCTATTCAATAAAGACATGATTACTGCTTTCACAGAGGTCCTTTACAGCTTATGCAACACCCTATGCATGGTCTATTCCTGCTTTGCTTGTGTGAAAAGACCACCAACTTACTAAGTCCTTGCAATGACAGGTCTTAATAATAGCTGATAAAACTCTCACATGCATGATGCATTATTAATAGACAATTTTAATGCATCATACTACACTTTCAAAACGCATGAGAATGTTTACTGGGTTAAAAAGCTAAAATGTAATACATCTCCTACTGGATTTACAACTAGGGTTATTATAGTTAAGACTAGAACCATAAAAATAACAAAAATTGTTACCAGAAATAAAATTAAATAAAATGTAAATGAAAAAAAGAATTATATAATTTTATTTAAGCTAGTCGCCAAAGCAAAATATCGATTTTTCATTTAGTTTAACTTGATGCACTAAAATAACTACAACTGAAATAAAATTAATAAAAAAACTATGTACATATAAAAAAACAAAATATAATAAAAATGACAAAAACAACAAAATGATTAAAATATGAACGAAAATTAAAATAAAAAAGGAAAATTTAAAATAATGGTATTAATAATGGTATATTTTAGTCATTTCAAAACTGCATTACCAGAGGAAAGTTGCACTCCCATAGCTCAGGAGACTCAATGATGTTCTCATTTCATTGAAGTATCTTAGTCTCAGATGTTTCCCCCAAAAATCCTAAGGAGACATAAAAACAGACACAACCGAGTTAGTATTCAAGCATACAGTAAGAGTATAGAGATACGGAGATCTCTGACTTTTAGCTATCTTGGAAAATCTAAGCATATCATTGAAATCTCTTCTGAAACTCTAAATGAGATGCATGTGAGTCTTTCTCTCAGCAGGAACAAGCAGGACACTTATGCAAAAATGTGTCTAGGAGAAACAACTGAGATATTGAAAAGCCCTCATTTGTGCTATCATGCTGATGCGGCCTGTTTAAAGAATCCCGACTGACTTTGGTCTGAAAGGACTGAAGATATTTCAGACGGCGATGTTGATGGCAGGGGGAGGAGAGGAGGCTCTCAGGGGTCAACCTGCACTGGCATGCGTTCATTGTCCGTGAATACGGCTGTGTGAGCGCGTATGCGAGAGGGTGTGAGCTAATCACGCTTAATGCGAACCGACACACAATGAGAGAGAGAGGAGTCGAGACGCAGAGAGATATCCGTCTGAGTCAATGAAGAAGAAAATGAGTGAATGCAGGAGGGGGAGCGAGAGAGGATGGGAGGATGGGTGGACACACTTAAACTGATGAGATGCAGAAATACGGCTTTAGAGAAAGAGAGAGAGAATGATGAGACACGCAATTAAACTGAAGGAAAACCTGTGTGTATGAAAAAAATACTGTAAGATAAATAAAAAGGATGCATTAAATTTAACAAAAGTGACAATAAAAACATTTACAATGTTACAGAAGACTTCTATTTAAAATAAATGCTGTTCTTTTGAACTTTCTATTCGTCAAAGAATCCTGATAAAGAAAATTTATCACAGTTTCCACAAAAACATGTAGCAGCACAATTGTTTTCTACACTGATAATAATAAGAGATGTGTCTTGAGCAGCAAATCAGCATATTGGAATGATTTCTGAAGGATCATGTGACACTGAAGACTGGAGTATGATGCTGAAAATTCAGCTTTGATCACAGGAAAAAATTATATTGTAAAATACATTCCGATAGAAAACAGTTATTGTAAATTGTAATAATATTTCACTGTCTTTTTGATCAAATAAATGCAGCCTTGATACCTCTACTTTCAAAAACATAAAAAAATCTTATTGACCCTTAACCCATAATACATACAGTATACTATTTATCCACTCTGCCCAGTAATAAAATTAACCAGAAGCCAAAACGCATCACATATTGTTAGTGTTATACCCTCATGGTTTCCAACAAATGAATCAAAAATGTAAAAAAACACAGGCTAGACGAACTTGAGTTGAATCCTTTGTAACTTGACACACAATAGAAGTGAAGCTATAACACAATCTTTCTGCCCTTTCTACTGTGTGGCCCTTCTTCTAATCTCACTGTCCCTCCGTATCCTTTAATCTTTCCATTATAACAGCGTAAGTAGTGCCTTCATTGAGGAAACACACACAATGCTGTATTTGCCGGCAAACCCCTATGAGAGAGCTGTGAAAAATGACACTGTTGTTCTCATTGCTCTCTCTCATGTGAGTGTGTGTGTGTGTGTCGAGAGGAAAGACAGCAAACACAGCTGGATCAAGATCTGAGGAGACCATCACTATCCCACCCCCAAACACACACAGAAACCAATAATCGGACTTGAGGAACATGCTTGAATGAGGGGGAAAACACTGACCAACCACTTCATGGATCGCAGGAGAACCGCTAAAGCAAAACAGTCATTCAGAGTTGAAATAAGGTTGAAGCAAAGCTAAATTGTTGATTGATTAAATGAATGGTTATAGAAATATATAACACTGTCCTACATCATATTTGTTGAATGAAATCCAATACTTGCTTTTGCTGATTCAAAAAAATTACTTGAGCATGTCACTTTTCCACAAAATATGATGCATTTCATAGCATTTTTTGCTTTCCACAATCATTTTTAAGGTAAAGAAATCTTGTATTATCCTTTAATCAGCAGGAAAACTGCAGCAGAGGCATAATTTCTCTCTTATGGAAGCCTGTTAATAAAAAAAAATTCTCATAATTTGGACTTTTCCTTGCAATTCTGTGTTTATATTTCACAATTCGGACTTGGTTTCTTGACATTCTGAGAAAAAAAAGTAAGAATTGCAAGATATAAACTCAGAATAATGACTTTTTTCTTACAATTCCATTTTCTTTTTTGTTTCTGCCATGGAATTTAAAAAAATGCTGATTGCTACTTTTTATTTCACAATTCAGACTTTTTTTCCTTTCTCAGGTGATTTGTTATTTATTTATTTATTGTTTTTACATATACGAATGATTCTGAAGACATTATTATTGTGCCTAATCCTAATTTCCACTCAAATGTAAATGTTAATTTTGAATACCTCTTTCTGTCATTAAAACATGACATTTGGCTGCTTTTATTATTTTGACGAGTGCATTAAAGCTGATATAATTTTTAAAAATCTTTATTCTTATTTTGTGAAAAACATACATGATAGAAAGTTTTTATTTATATTTTTTAACTCAGCATCATCAAATTAGGTAATCTTAAGTATTTTTTGCAAATCAACAGACATTTTTATTTTAAGACTTGGGGCTGTGTAATGCATCAACATCAATCCAAATAGGATCTTAAGCTGTACTTCACTATACATTACACTGACAATCCAAACTTAGCTTCACCATATTTCTTCATTTACAAAAGTTTTATGGTTTTGGTGTGCAAATATTGGAAAAAGACTCAATTCAAGACTCAGAAAGTCAATTCTCTTGCTATGCAACACTAAACATGCACAATCACATGTACACGCACATACATGCTTTCATGTGTCTATTCTTTGAAGTGGCCACCAGAGAACAAAAGCCTCACTTTATACACAGCAGATCAGCAGGGAACACAAAACACACACATACACACACACCTCAGCAGGGCTACTGGACATCAGGCTTTGAATATGTCAAAGGTCCTGTCATAACCACACGCTCACGTACGCACACATGCACACTATCCGTAAAGATAGATTGCAGTGGTGATACAAAAGAATATTTGATTTGCTTATAATGCAGTGAGATGAAAGAGTCCCTCAGCGTGGGCTGAACGTAGGGCAGGACGTCCTGCAGAGAGCTCCATTTACCCCCAACCACCACACCCATCCCCCTGGTCTTTGCATCTCTCCATAAGTTTAAAAGCCTAGCATTGGAGTGGATTTATCATGCGTTTATATGATTTCATCCTATTTCTTCTCAACTTGATTTGAACTTCAGCTTTGACCACTTCTTGCAGCCTACTATTCAATTTTCAAGCACTTTGTCCCTTATTTTTAGACAAATATTCTATCACAAACATAAATGAATCATTAGCCATCTTAATTGGATTACAATGTATAATTAAGATTGATTGGATTAAAATGTAACTTTTGACTACATGGTAATTTGAAATCCTTTAACCATGTTAATTAAGCTAACCGAAACATGTTTTGTTTTTTTTAAACTACTTTCTCGCATTTCTCTCTGAAAACTGGAGCGGCAAAAATTAATTGATTCAACAACGAATTCGAACGTTCTTTTGAACCGACTCTATGAAATGATTCTTTTAGAACCGATTGGCATTCCTTTGAAAATCAGTGGCTTATTTTTATTTATTTATTTATTTTTAGCAGTAAACAACACTGTGAGTTTAGAACAATGTTGTTAGTAGTAACCATTAACTTTCTGGATTAAGAATATTAATCATATTTGGAAAACACTACAGTTAATTTGTGTTGTTTATTATTTTGAAACAATAAACAACACAAATTCAACGCAATTTATATAACCTAATTTGAAAACACAGAAATAAACAGCGATTTTGGCTACAAAAATGTAACGCTAAATGCCAGAATCCGGTGAATCATTTAATCGGTTCACTGAACCATTTGATTCGCTAAAATGATTCAGACGCTATTGCCAACAACGTGTTATGTTTCAAAATCCTTCACATACATTCAGGCTGATTAAACATTCTTCTGTAGTTTGCCTTTACCCAGTGTGAATAAAGGAGATGCCATTCATTGGACTTTAACTGTGGCGAAGCCACGCCTCCTGCTGTGGGCGGGGTTTAAAGTTTAGTCCAGTTCTGAAACTCTTGCGCTGGAACTCAGTCAGTCAGAAGCTCTCTGCTCACGAGACACGGACTGATCTACAGAAAGAGAGGGAACGTTTAGTTTAGACAGATCAGTCTTTTAGATCAGAGAACAGTATGGAATCAGTAGGTTTTCGTTTGGTTTAATTATAGATTTGGAAAAGCAGCGAAGAGAAGGACTTTACGCACGCACCTCTCTGGAGAACCGCAGTCTCTTTGCGCGGTGATGGAGGTTTCGGACTTCAGGAATTTTGCGCTTTGGATTTCATTCCTGACGGGTTTCACGATGGCCAGTTACTCAGAAGACCAGTGCAGCTGGAGGGGAAGGTGAATATTACCAACATGCAGAGTTACAGGCTTTATATCTGTTGATTTTTAAATATATTGCGTATTATGTTTACGTTTTGTCCTGGAAATTATGCAAGGATTTTTCTGCTATCTTGTGTAATTTCTGTTAAAAGTGTTCAAAATGTATGCAATTAATTCTAGTAAACATTGGTAAAATATTCAGTGATTATCTCTCACATATGTGCATGAATTGCATTGCATATCTATCTATCTATATATCGTGAATATTTTTAGTCATAGTGTAATTTGAATAGTTTACGCAAATGTGCGCAAAAGCCAAACCTGTTGCGCAAAAAAGGGTTAATTAATCACTTCGTTTGTAAAGTATAAAGAAAATATAATTATACTGGAATAAAAAGGTGTGATATGAGGGTTGCAATACTAATGGATGTTTCCACTAGTGCAGAAAGTTTAAATGGCTGCAGTTAAAGTAACCAGTAGGGGGCGTTAAACTTTTCCTGCAACTTTATGCACGGGTCAAATGACTCAAGACTCAAGTTTTGAGAAAGCAGAACACCAGAATGCTTGCACCTCATTTAATGTGGATCAACTGACTGAGGTTTGGCCTGCTCAGATTTCTCTGGTTAAGCTCTTCTGGTTTCCATCTGTGCAGTGGTCTCTCTCAGGCGGTGAAGAACGTGGAGCAGGTTTGGTTGAGGTGTGCGGAGGGCTCTGTGGAGTGGCTGTACCCCGCCGGAGCGCTGCGTTTCACTCTTTCGCCCCGACTGCCGTGGAGTGCCTTGGGTCCCGGCGAGTCCAGCAGGAGCCCGGTGTCGGCCTGCATCAAGCCAGATCAGCACTGGGGCGGGGCTCAGCTCTACCTGGAGCGGGACGGAGTCCTGGAGCTTCTGGTGGGAGACGAGACCTCCAGCCTGGCCCGTGTGACCTGCTTCAGTGCCATGCCTGGAGAACGACCGGCGCTCTTCCTGCAATCGACGCCTCACCAGGACATCAGCAGACGCATCGCCGCGTTTCGCTACGAGCTGAGAGGCGATTGGACGGTGCAGCCGTCAGTCAACACAGATCCAATCGGCAGTGAAGGTGAATATTCTGGAAGATACAGCAGTGATTTATGTAATATATACATAATATACAATGGCAAGCAAATTAACAGCTAGACACAAAACATTGATTTTAGTAAAATTTACTTTCAATATTAAACATAGAAAATGCTTTCTGAATTGAATATTGGTACAGAAATAATCTAAAATTGCCACAAAAAAAAGACTACTACCAACTCTTCTGGACTTTTAGGATCATCTATATGGGTTTGTTTCCTAGTAAACGAAACCTGAATGTTTCTCTAAATCTATGAGAGTTTATGGTTTTGCAAAAAAAAGTACAGTGCAAATGCTACCAAACTATGCAAAAACACTTATTTTACAAAAAATTTGTTTAAAATATTAAACACAAAGTGGGAACTAACATTTATAATTTAATATCTGCCCAAATATAATCTAAAATTGCCGAAGAACCAACTCTTCTGTACTTTCAGGACAATCTAAACAAATTAAGTTTCTGAGAATTAACCTGCAGGTGAATCCTGAGCATTTCTGCAAGCCTGTGAGTTGATGGTTCTGCAAAAAAGAGCAATGTGCCAAAGCTATGAAACGGTGCATTTATTTTACTAAAAAATTGCTTGAAATATTGAACACAGAGCATTTGTATATTTTGGAATTTAAAAAACTGGGAACTAAAACTTACAATTTGATATTATCCCCAAAATAATACCAAATTTCCAAAAATGACTACTACCAACTCTAGTACTTTTAGGCTCATCTACATGGGTTCGTTTCTGAGAATTAACCTGCAGATGATGTTTCTGCAAACCTGTGATGGTTCTGCAGAAAAGTTCAGTGCAACGTTATGAAAGTATGCAAAGTAGGAGTTGAAGTTCTCTGAAGTGAAGTTGAGTTGGAGTCGAGTGACCTCTGGGTGGATGCGGGTGCAGAACGAGGAGCAGCAGACAGACAAAACCAGCCATAAACAGAGCATTCATTCAAACTTTAATGAGACTTGAACTTTAGAGCAAGACTTGTGCTTGTCGAAGAGCACAAACAAGCACTTTTCATTTCAATCTGTAATTGCAGCACTGCAATTATTTAAATGTAACAGGTTTGAGTAATAGGTTTAGGTCGTCTCAGCTGGGAAGCTCCTTCCAGCCAGTTGTGAGACGCGGGGGAGGAGTGGCACAAACCGATCGTTTCGTGTCTTTACACATCAATGTATCGTCACGAGCCGCAGGGTTTAATTTGGTTTTGTTTGTGTATGTTTTTTTACTCTCAAAGCTGTGATTCCCATTCACTTCCATTATAAGACTGACAGACTGCAACGGTTTAAGTTAAAAATCATCATATGTGTTCTACTGAAGAAACAAAGTCACCTACATCTTGGATGCCCTGGGGGTAAGCAGATAAACATCAAATTTTCATTTTTGGGTGAACTATCCCTTTAAGGAATCATTCACAAACACTGCAAGACGACACACACTCAACTTTATAATACTAGAGCTTTGATAAATACTAACGCTTTTCTTAGTGAAAACCACTAATTAGAGTGTCCTATTCAATAAAGACATGATTACTGCTTTCACAGAGGTCCTTTACAGCTTATGCAACACCCTATGCATGGTCTATTCCTGCTTTGCTTGTGTGAAAAGACCACCAACTTACTAAGTCCTTGCAATGACAGGTCTTAATAATAGCTGATAAAACTCTCACATGCATGATGCATTATTAATAGACAATTTTAATGCATCATACTACACTTTCAAAACGCATGAGAATGTTTACTGGGTTAAAAAGCTAAAATGTAATACATCTCCTACTGGATTTACAACTAGGGTTATTATAGTTAAGACTAGAACCATAAAAATAACAAAAATTGTTACCAGAAATAAAATTAAATAAAATGTAAATGAAAAAAAGAATTATATAATTTTATTTAAGCTAGTCGCCAAAGCAAAATATCGATTTTTCATTTAGTTTAACTTGATGCACTAAAATAACTACAACTGAAATAAAATTAATAAAAAAACTATGTACATATAAAAAAACATAAAATATAATAAAAATGACAAAAACAACAAAATGATTAAAATATGAACGAAAATTAAAATAAAAAAGGAAAATTTAAAATAATGGTATTAATAATGGTATATTTTAGTCATTTCAAAACTGCATTACCAGAGGAAAGTTGCACTCCCATAGCTCAGGAGACTCAATGATGTTCTCATTTCATTGAAGTATCTTAGTCTCAGATGTTTCCCCCAAAAATCCTAAGGAGACATAAAAACAGACACAACCGAGTTAGTATTCAAGCATACAGTAAGAGTATAGAGATACGGAGATCTCTGACTTTTAGCTATCTTGGAAAATCTAAGCATATCATTGAAATCTCTTCTGAAACTCTAAATGAGATGCATGTGAGTCTTTCTCTCAGCAGGAACAAGCAGGACACTTATGCAAAAATGTGTCTAGGAGAAACAACTGAGATATTGAAAAGCCCTCATTTGTGCTATCATGCTGATGCGGCCTGTTTAAAGAATCCCGACTGACTTTGGTCTGAAAGGACTGAAGATATTTCAGACGGCGATGTTGATGGCAGGGGGAGGAGAGGAGGCTCTCAGGGGTCAACCTGCACTGGCATGCGTTCATTGTCCGTGAATACGGCTGTGTGAGCGCGTATGCGAGAGGGTGTGAGCTAATCACGCTTAATGCGAACCGACACACAATGAGAGAGAGAGGAGTCGAGACGCAGAGAGATATCCGTCTGAGTCAATGAAGAAGAAAATGAGTGAATGCAGGAGGGGGAGCGAGAGAGGATGGGAGGATGGGTGGACACACTTAAACTGATGAGATGCAGAAATACGGCTTTAGAGAAAGAGAGAGAGAATGATGAGACACGCAATTAAACTGAAGGAAAACCTGTGTGTATGAAAAAAATACTGTAAGATAAATAAAAAGGATGCATTAAATTTAACAAAAGTGACAATAAAAACATTTACAATGTTACAGAAGACTTCTATTTAAAATAAATGCTGTTCTTTTGAACTTTCTATTCGTCAAAGAATCCTGATAAAGAAAATTTATCACAGTTTCCACAAAAACATGTAGCAGCACAATTGTTTTCTACACTGATAATAATAAGAGATGTGTCTTGAGCAGCAAATCAGCATATTGGAATGATTTCTGAAGGATCATGTGACACTGAAGACTGGAGTATGATGCTGAAAATTCAGCTTTGATCACAGGAAAAAATTATATTGTAAAATACATTCCGATAGAAAACAGTTATTGTAAATTGTAATAATATTTCACTGTCTTTTTGATCAAATAAATGCAGCCTTGATACCTCTACTTTCAAAAACATAAAAAAATCTTATTGACCCTTAACCCATAATACATACAGTATACTATTTATCCACTCTGCCCAGTAATAAAATTAACCAGAAGCCAAAACGCATCACATATTGTTAGTGTTATACCCTCATGGTTTCCAACAAATGAATCAAAAATGTAAAAAAACACAGGCTAGACGAACTTGAGTTGAATCCTTTGTAACTTGACACACAATAGAAGTGAAGCTATAACACAATCTTTCTGCCCTTTCTACTGTGTGGCCCTTCTTCTAATCTCACTGTCCCTCCGTATCCTTTAATCTTTCCATTATAACAGCGTAAGTAGTGCCTTCATTGAGGAAACACACACAATGCTGTATTTGCCGGCAAACCCCTATGAGAGAGCTGTGAAAAATGACACTGTTGTTCTCATTGCTCTCTCTCATGTGAGTGTGTGTGTGTGTGTCGAGAGGAAAGACAGCAAACACAGCTGGATCAAGATCTGAGGAGACCATCACTATCCCACCCCCAAACACACACAGAAACCAATAATCGGACTTGAGGAACATGCTTGAATGAGGGGGAAAACACTGACCAACCACTTCATGGATCGCAGGAGAACCGCTAAAGCAAAACAGTCATTCAGAGTTGAAATAAGGTTGAAGCAAAGCTAAATTGTTGATTGATTAAATGAATGGTTATAGAAATATATAACACTGTCCTACATCATATTTGTTGAATGAAATCCAATACTTGCTTTTGCTGATTCAAAAAAATTACTTGAGCATGTCACTTTTCCACAAAATATGATGCATTTCATAGCATTTTTTGCTTTCCACAATCATTTTTAAGGTAAAGAAATCTTGTATTATCCTTTAATCAGCAGGAAAACTGCAGCAGAGGCATAATTTCTCTCTTATGGAAGCCTGTTAATAAAAAAAAATTCTCATAATTTGGACTTTTCCTTGCAATTCTGTGTTTATATTTCACAATTCGGACTTGGTTTCTTGACATTCTGAGAAAAAAAAGTAAGAATTGCAAGATATAAACTCAGAATAATGACTTTTTTCTTACAATTCCATTTTCTTTTTTGTTTCTGCCATGGAATTTAAAAAAATGCTGATTGCTACTTTTTATTTCACAATTCAGACTTTTTTTCCTTTCTCAGGTGATTTGTTATTTATTTATTTATTGTTTTTACATATACGAATGATTCTGAAGACATTATTATTGTGCCTAATCCTAATTTCCACTCAAATGTAAATGTTAATTTTGAATACCTCTTTCTGTCATTAAAACATGACATTTGGCTGCTTTTATTATTTTGACGAGTGCATTAAAGCTGATATAATTTTTAAAAATCTTTATTCTTATTTTGTGAAAAACATACATGATAGAAAGTTTTTATTTATATTTTTTAACTCAGCATCATCAAATTAGGTAATCTTAAGTATTTTTTGCAAATCAACAGACATTTTTATTTTAAGACTTGGGGCTGTGTAATGCATCAACATCAATCCAAATAGGATCTTAAGCTGTACTTCACTATACATTACACTGACAATCCAAACTTAGCTTCACCATATTTCTTCATTTACAAAAGTTTTATGGTTTTGGTGTGCAAATATTGGAAAAAGACTCAATTCAAGACTCAGAAAGTCAATTCTCTTGCTATGCAACACTAAACATGCACAATCACATGTACACGCACATACAGGCTTTCATGTGTCTATTCTTTGAAGTGGCCACCAGAGAACAAAAGCCTCACTTTATACACAGCAGATCAGCAGGGAACACAAAACACACACATACACACACACCTCAGCAGGGCTACTGGACATCAGGCTTTGAATATGTCAAAGGTCCTGTCATAACCACACGCTCACGTACGCACACATGCACACTATCCGTAAAGATAGATTGCAGTGGTGATACAAAAGAATATTTGATTTGCTTATAATGCAGTGAGATGAAAGAGTCCCTCAGCGTGGGCTGAACGTAGGGCAGGACGTCCTGCAGAGAGCTCCATTTACCCCCAACCACCACACCCATCCCCCTGGTCTTTGCATCTCTCCATAAGTTTAAAAGCCTAGCATTGGAGTGGATTTATCATGCGTTTATATGATTTCATCCTATTTCTTCTCAACTTGATTTGAACTTCAGCTTTGACCACTTCTTGCAGCCTACTATTCAATTTTCAAGCACTTTGTCCCTTATTTTTAGACAAATATTC